ACGAGGAGCGACCGTAATATTACGATCGGGAGGTATAGGGCTTAGGGCTAAGCTCGGATTAATACTTAAAGGCGGAGTCGGCGTCGACTAAATACTAATCGGAGGGTTAGAGAGAGCAGGCGTTAATAATAGCCGACTACTACCGATCCGACTTCCTCTACGCTTTAAAGGTGTCTCTTACTTAGTATCTAGCTTTCTCTTACCCTTGTTCTTGCTTATAGTAGTCTATGCTCGGCATTTCGAATAGGTCTTTAGCTTCCTATTGCCTTTTATAAAGCATCGCCGCTTCTTCTAATAACCGCAATTAGTATAGGTATCTATCTCGCCCTTATAATTGTTATTAACCTTACTATTACTATCCTCCCCTATATTAATACGGTCTACTAGAACGTTTTTCTTCGGAGGCCTACCGCTACTACTACTAGGGGGTCCGCCGCTAGTTGCTACTATAGAACGAGTGCGTGTTATTATACGTATACTCTAAACCTAATTAAGGCGAGCATAAGTATCGGTAAGAGCGGAAATAAGCTAGTTGTATGCCTGCTCGTCGCTAAGGTTAACTGTCTAGATCTGCTCTTTCAATTCTGCTAGTTTAGCGTTTAAGCGTGCTTCTAGCTTCTTAAGTATAATATCGAGTATACGTCGGAGGTTGCGACCGACGAAGTTCTTACTAGCGAGCAGCTTCGACTGCTCGTATATAGTCTATTTAAGCTAGCGATAGCCGCGAATGTATAGCTTCCGGTCGCGGCTAGAATGTCCGTAAAGCGCATAGCTAGTACGATCGGCTTGCGGAGGCGGCTTAAGCAATATACTCGAGGGTACGACCGTCTTAATACGATGCGATTGTAGCTCGTATAGGGCGTCGTATAGGGCGATTTAATAGAGAGCGATCGAGTGTTAGCCGATTTAGTAGCACGTAGTATCGCGATAGGGGCGATAAATGTCGAAGCGTATAGGAAGGAGTACGAGAAGGAGAAGAAGAAGCTCTAGCTGTCTGTTTGTTTCTAGAACCTCGCACTATACTAATTTAGGAATAGAAGTAGGGCGCGGCTTCTTATATATAAATGCACGGACTCTAGTAAAGTACTATACCTATCCGCTTGCTAATTAACTATATACCTTATCGTGTCTTTGTAAGCGCTGTCGATATCCGTATCACTTTTGCTAGCGTTAGCGTTCCGGACAAGTTAAACACTCGCTAAGGCTCGGTCTTAACTTGCCCTCTACTTTAGTACCCTTATTTATCCGACGTTAGCGTTCCGGACAAGTTGAACACTCGCTAAGGCTCGGTCTTAACTTGCCCTCTACTTTAGTACCCTTATTCGTCCGACGTTAGCGTTCCGGACAAGTTGAACACTCGCTAAGGCTCGGTCTTAACTTGCCCTCTACTTTAGTATCCTTATTTATCCGACGTTAGCGTTCCGGACAAGTTAAACACTCGCTAAGGCTCGGTCTTAACTTGCCCTCTACTTTAGTACCCTTATTCGTCCGACGTTAGCGTTCCGGACAAGTTAAACACTCGCTAAGGCTCGGTCTTAACTTGCCCTCTACTTTAGTACCCTTCTTTTGCTAGCCTTGTTACTTAGGGTAGAGGGGATAGTCGGTACGCCTCCTAAACCCCCTATACCTACCGCTTTAGTATCCGTATCTTACTAACGTTAGTCTCCTAGCTAAAAGGAAGCTGTTCTCGGAGCCTAAGGCAGCCGTCGTTATCGTGTTAATTACTTTTACTAGCGTGGTTTTGCTAGAAATACGCTCAATCGACTCAACTATATCGGCTTCGGAGGTGCTAGTTTAGTACGTAGCGATATCAATGTCGATACTAACTTAATATCGATAATGTAGCTTCTAGATACGGAATTAAACCCTTAACTAGTGTAGTACTTAAACCTTACCTGCCTGCCTGCTATCTTTCCTTCTAACTAAGCTATTACCGTAGGCAGTAGCAATAAGGGTATATTAGCTTGCGAGAATAGACGACTATTAACTAATAACAATCGACTATAACGAAGCGTATACCTAGCTACAACCGGGTATTAGAGTTACAGTAATCCTTTGCGCCTAGTTATCGAGTTACGTAGGGAACCTAAGGGATTTAGGCTATTTAATAGTCTTTTCTAAGGCAGCTAGCAGCCTAATAAACTAGTAGAGGTAACTGCCTATTGTCTAAACCTAAAGAAATCAGTTCTCCGGGACAGGTTTTCTATAGCGGCACTTCTTCGGAAGTGTATAAGGTCGAAGTCTAGTAGGCATGTTTACTTAGTTAATTCGTAACGTGTCTTAAAGGGTTAAAAGCTCGAGGTTTATATCGTATCCGCAAGAGTAACTCCGGGTGTTGCCCGTCTATAGTTTTTTGCCCTTTAGTATTCTTCTTTTTTTTTACTAAGTCCTTTATTGCTCTATGTCCTTTATTGCATATCCTTGCTCTTCCTGTATTGCGCTTTTACTGTTAAAGGTCGCTATAGATAATAGTTTGTTTTGCTATAGAAGGTCGCTATAGGTTTAAGTAGGTAGGGGTAGCATATTGCTGTTTTTTTATCGCATTATGCTATTAGCGCATTGTGCTATTAGCGCATTGTACTATTAGCGCATTGTGCTGTTAGCGTATTATGCTATTGGTGCATTGTAGGATCTTCTTTTTAACTATCTCTTCTTAGTGTAATCTTCTCTTCGGTACGTGTATTCGGTATATACTTTCGGTACGTGCTTTCGGCGTGCTTTCGACGACCTTCCGTATATACGTATACGTGTGCGTATACGAGACATATAGAGATAGTAGTAGTGCTGCTATTGTAGTTGCAGTGAAGTTAGAGCGGCACGTAACCTTTCTTTTTGATTTCTACTAATTAGATCGCGCGCTAAGATTTGTATAGGGAGCCTTTTTACTAATTAAACCCTCGCGATACGCACCTATAAGCAGGTACTATATGCTCCTTCTAAGCACGAGTCTAATTGTTATTTCGCGCTCGCGTAAGGCTAAAACAGACACCTTCTACAACACTCGTCGCAAGCTCCTCGGTTGCTCTAGGTGCCTGTTTTTTAGCCTCCCGCTTCGCTAGAATTAAAGCTAAATAGCTCGTTTAGCTATTTCTACTTCGACTATAAATTAAATGCGTATTAGGTTAGCCTGTTTAAATATACGGCGACGGTCTAATTCGAGGATAAGCTCCTATCTAAGCTTTAGGCGTATTTCCGAGATCTATATAGAATTAGTCTTAGTAGGAAGGTCGTCCTCGAGGGTCTTTAAATAGGCCTCGAATAAGCGAGCCGATTAATTAGTCTTTTATTTAGCTCGAAGATATAGGTCCTAAGTATATTATTGCCTTAGTATAGGGTTTCTAAGGGTGTCTAGTATAATAGTTTTATAGGTTTGCTACTAAATAGCGGTCTAATTATCGAGGGAATTAAAATAGTTATCCTAGGTACGTTTTAGGTCGCTATTAATATACTATATAGCGTAGACAACTAATAAATAGTTATCTAGAAGAGCCCTTAGTATATTCTGTTAGTTAAGCTTATAATCGCGTATATAATTATTATACTACTTACGACTAGAGCTGTTAAACACAGTACAGTCCTTAAGCTTAGCATCCTTCTTTTAGGCTAATAGTAAAGAAGGTCCTACTATTAGTTTAGTAGCGGTTGTTAGGGCTTCCTAAAGGCGACGGAGCTCGAGGAGGTTATCCTTTAGCTACTATTCTTAACGTAGGGCAGTAAGCCTGTTTTAAGTAGCTTCTTAAAGTCTCCCTACTAGTTAGGGCCTAAAGGCTAGTTAGCTATATCGTCGATTAACAATATTATTAAGAATGTCGTTAATAGGCAATTCTAGATTATTATCCGGAATTATAGGCTCTTTATTAATAGGCTCTATACTACTAGTATTATTATTGCTAGTACTGCTAGCGGCGCCGCGGTTGTTGTTACTTCGTAATAAGCCGGCTATTATAAGGGGTAACACTAATAATGTATTATAGCCCCTTATAGTAAAGATATAGCGGAACTAGTCGATATCGGTCTAGTACGATTAACTCGGTATAATAGGCTATATAGAAGGCCTTACTTAATAATTAGTACGGTTGTTTTAATAGAATAGTACGTATAGGTCCCGTTCTTTAGGCGTAATATAGTTAGATTAACGGTTTTCGGGGCTATACCGCTAAAAGCTTAAAATAAGGACTATCTAGCTACTACCCTTAAAGGGCGGATCGAATACTATATAAGAAGGGTTATATTAGTAGGTAGATAGGGTAGTAGTAGATATAAGTAGTATTCGATAAAGAGCTAGGAGGAGAGGGAGGAAGGCGGGCAAGTTAGCCTATTACTAAGCGCTAAGCCCTGCCTAAGGCATTAAGACCCTAGCTTTACTCGAGCCTAGTTATATACTAATTACGTATAATCTCTTTAGTCCTAATAGAATATAAAAGTAGTAATCGCTAATATTCTTATTTAGTCTCGAAATAGAGATAGATAACTATTACGATATATAGGTATACGATAGTAGTAGTAGCTAACCTAATTTACCTCTAGATATTAATTATACCTACGACGTCGATATTTTTAATAGGTAATAATTCTATTACTTAGCGCTATAGGGAAAGTCGATCTATATAGGCTATTACTACTAGGTATAAGTATTACCTTACTAGTAGTATCTAGTATAGCCCGGCCTAGGTATAGCGTTTTAGTTATAGTATTAACTATAGTATTAATTTAACTAGGTAGTGTTAATTATAGTATTAATTGAAGCCTATTTAATTTCAATTAACGCTTAGTCTAACCGTTTGATGCTGCCTAGGGGACGCGATCTGCTAGTAAGATCGATCTGACACGTGGAACTGAGTTCGGTTGACTTTTGCCGCATCCCACCCCACCCCCGAGCCCCAGCGGCGGTGCTCCGCTCCGCTCCGCTCCGCTCCCGTCCTTATCGCCTACGCAATCGCAGAGGCAATTTGCGCCGTTCTTCTCGCGACACCATGCCATCCCACTGTTTTGGATTCTTGTAGTTGTAGCACACCATATCATCGCCGTCCTCCTCCCCCTCTTCTCCCTCCCCCTCTCTGTGTATCTCCGTCGAAGCATCGCTACACATCCCACACCACATCCACATCGACATCGACATCGCACGCGTACCCGCACCCGGACGCCGTGCCCGCCGGCAGTGTAACGCGAAGGCACAATCACAATCACAGCCTTTGCTGCCCAGCCCAGCCCAGCCCAGCTCGTGCCAAGCCAAGCTGGAGGAAAGCAAGGACTGGCACTCAGAGAGCAGCCGCTCGTCTGATGCAGAATTCGCCGGCCGCGACGACGGCGCACCTCTGCCGGCCATTCGCAGTAGCATTATGCGGCCACTGCGCCACCTGAATCCTCTGCGTCTGTTCCACCATCCGTCCTTCTCCTACCAACAACTCCCCTCGTTATCTGTCGACAGTCTCAACGCCATCCAGCGGGATTGGTCGCAGAATGGCATCCCCTGGCGCGACGGAACGAGACGAAAATGTCGCCTGGGTCGATTGTCGCTCACGAAGAGCATCGTGCTGGCCGTCGTAGGCCTACTCGTGATAGCGCTAATAGGAGGCGGACGCTACCATCATCGCAGAGCGAAACTACGAAAAGAGAAGGATAAGCCGGTGCCATACTATTGGATGCATTATAATCGACTGAATGGAGTGTACAATGGAATACGGACACTGGTCTCATATGCACAATGGCAGCCAGAGAACGGGTACAACAAGACAGAGCCGACCACTTCCATCAGTCAGGAAAGTGTGCACAACAGCGCTCCGCCCATGGAGCCTTTCAGCTTCAGCCCATACCCAGACTACACCTCGCAACACTATTTGTCGCAGCATCAACCCGTGCATACGTGCTACCTGCATGAAGCCGAGAAAATAGTGGTGCCCGACGTCCATGCCTACCCTGGCATCCCACAACACATGTCTGAGCCATTCTATGGAGACTATAAGCTGCTTGGACTGAAGGACGAGCTTTGCTTCGAGCGATTTGGCCGATATGGTCCTTACGGATATGGCTACAATGAGACACATGCTGGCCTGGGACCGGGTATTGTGTCGGAACATGCTGGTAGTGAAAAGGCTTTCGCCAAGATGGGCTTCGTGAGCTATGACAACAGCACAGACTGGGGATCTGCTCAGCAAAGGTGCGCAGAGAAAAACAAGGCTCGCTTTGCAGAAGACCAGACGAGTGGAAAGAAGCGTGTGCCGCGCCAGGCATACGTGCTGCGAAGCTGGACAGGATTCGAGTACGGCACACATCAGATCTATGCCCTTCGTGCTATGATTGCTGAGCTGGCGCTTAAGTCGGGCGCTGAGTATGATGTGCACCTTCTCGTCCATGTCAAGAACAACAGCAATCCAATCTGGGCGGACAAAGCTGTCTACCAGCAGACTCTACAAGACAACGTGCCTCGCGAGTTCTGGAACATCACCACTCTGTGGTCCGAGAAGCAGATGGAGCTGTACTACCCGGACCCCTTCCCGGACAACTTTGCCAACATGGCAGGAAGCAAGCTGCATGGTGTATACAGAAGCGCACACTTCGCGCTACAATGGTTTGCCCAGCAGCATCCCCAATATGACCACTTCTGGAACTGGGAAATGGACATTCGATACTCTGGTCACTACTACGACTTCAACGACAAGATTGGTGAGTGGGCCAAAATGCAGCCTCGAAAGGGCATGTGGGAGCGAGCGCGACGCTTCTACATTCCCAAATATCACGGCTCTTGGCAGAACTTCACCAACTTCGTCGAGCAGGAAACCGCCACCACCGACACGGAGAAAAACAATGTTGAGCAGAGTGGACCTGTTCCGATTTGGGGCCCTGTACAAGACTTCAAGAACATGGGCATGCTCGAACCACGGCCTGAAGTCCTACCTCCCACCACCTATGAAGCAGACAACTATGAATGGGGAGTCGGCGAGGACGCAGACCTCCTCACTTTCAATCCGATCTTCGACCCTTCTCTGACGAACTGGGTGTTCAGCTGGGATATTTCGGGCTACAACCGCACATTCCCACCGCCTCCACGAAGAGCCGCTATCATTACTGCTGCTCGCCTTTCGAAACGCCTCCTTGATATAATGCATAAGGAAGTCTGGTTGATGAAGCACACCATGTTCCCTGAGATGTGGCCACCGACTGTCGCAATGCACCATGGATTGAAAGCAGTCTACGTGCCTCACCCCGTCTTCTTCGATCGAGATTGGGATCTAGCATACATGAACCAAGTCTTCAACTATCCAACCAATACCTGGGACTCACCATTCGGGTGGGGTGAACACAACCTTCTTGGAAGCTCATTCTACTACAACTCCGGGTTTTCTGGCGCGCTGTGGCGAAGATGGCTCGGGCAATGGGAGAACGGCGAAGGTGGGAAGAGGCTGGAAGAGGAGGGCACGGGCAGAATGTGTTTGAGAGGAATCTTGCACCACCCAATCAAACACGAAAAAGGGCCTGAAGACGCATGACGCTGAATTGTTGTGCTTTGTACATCTCTGGCTTTCTTGGATACCTGGATACCACATCATGCATATTGATGGCGAGGCGTTGTGAGGCATGGTAGCATTGTTTGGCGCACTGCAGGGTCAGTGAACCCCGTCTTGGAAAGGAATTAGGAGACAAGAGTCATGTACATACGATGGCGGGTTTCGAGGAGTGTTCGTGCGCTATCGCCTGAACTCGCGAGCACAGATAGAAGACGATGAATAGACACTCGAACACAAAACACGTTCTGATGTACCGGCCTTCGAAGCAACTTCAGTCCAGGATGAAGGACACCAAGAAGCAACGCTATGACATGGGAGTGAAAGCAGCAGATTCGGCACGCGTGCATGGTACGAAGCAGAGACTGAGAAGCACCTTCTGAACGCAAGAACTTGTTAGTCAGGCCCAAGGATCATCATCTAGGCACCTCCAGATCAGGAAATATGCTAACCTCGCGTCGTACTTGAAGGATGCAGAGATCCACCTTCATGTCTCTCATCCTTCCTAAAGCCGGATCGGAAGATTTCTGACAATTGACATTGAAGACGAAGATATGGAAACGAACAGCGGCATTGATAGACATGCCAAGATTGAAGACGGAATGACATGTAAGGCGAGTTTGGGTCTTTCGATTTCTGAAGCTGCTGAAACGTAAGGTAGCAACTACACACAATCATGTCTTCCATCACCAACCATGCAGCCTTCCTCATGGAACGGAAAGGCTACCCCTTCAAAGTCGATTCCGCTCCGATTCCTACTGTGCAAGCCTACGAGGTCCTCATCCGTGCACGCGCCGTAGCGATCAATCCCTGCGACGCCATAATCCAATCCGCAGGCGTAATCCAAGAAAACTTCCCAGGAATCATCGGATGCGATTTAGCAGGCGAAGCAGTCTCAGTTGGCTCTGACATCAAGAAATTCAAAGCCGGCGATCAAGTCATCGCAGCAGTCGAATCAGGAGCCTTCCAAGAATACTGCGCAGCAGATGTAGGCATGGTAGCAAAGTTGCCTGCAAACATTCCGTATGAGAAGGGTGTCGTGTTGCCCGCATGTTTGGGCACGGCTGCTACGGCACTTTTCCATCCTCGGGAGATGGGATTGGAGTATCCATCTCTCGAAGCAGGGAAGAAGAACGTGAAAGTGGTGCTGGTATGGGGAGGAGCTTCAGTGGTGGGATCCTGCGCGATTCAGATGTAGAAAGCCGCGGGATTTGAAGTTGCAGCTACAGCTTCTGAACATAATCACAACTACTTGAAGGAGGAGGTTGGGGTTGATGGTGGAGTGTTTGATTACAAGAGGGAGGATGTTGTTGGGGTGATTTTGGAAGGGTTAAAGAAGTCTGGGAAGCACTTCGCAGGCGTGTTCTGTGCGGTCATTGATGTTCCGACTTTGACCAAGTGTGCGAAGATCGCGGACGTGCTCGGCAAAGATGAGAAGAGTCGGGTTGTTGGGACTGTGGTGCCTCCGAATCTGCCTTGGATTCCGAATGCTGAGGATTTGCCGAAGGGTGTCAGGATGACTTTCTGTCGATTCACTGCGGATTTGTTGCCGCATTCGAAACTGAGATTGCAGTTCGGTTGGGGAGATGAGTGGGAGCCAAACGATGTCGGAGAGAAGGTCTGGGGTGAATGGGTCACTCCCGCACTGGAGAGGGGTCTACTAAAGTGCAAGCCTGAGCCAAAGATTGTTGGAGATGGGCTCGAGAAGATTCAGCATGCCGTGGACATCATGAGCAAAGGCGTGTCTGCCACGAAGCTGGTAGTCACCGTTCCGTGATGTTTCTCGCGAACATCGAAGGACGCAGTCAGAGTTCGATAATCGTATGCCATTCCCCTTGAGGAGCAAGACTGACCTGCATCTCGAAGCATTCCCAAGCCTGCAAAGATCTTCATCGTGATGGAAGGCTGAAGTGATCGCTGCGCATGCCGAGATACCCCAAGCACTTGTGCTGCGAGATTGAACATCATTCTCCACCCTCAAGTCTGGGCGATCAAGGTCCCCATATTACAAATTTGAACTTGAAACACAGGGTCCTGTGGCTTGGACCGTGCACACGCGGCACCCTATTTAGCGACTTCTCGCTTCTTCCGTAGACACTCAATCAACCATCGAACATACACTTCAAGTGGTTATGAGCCCTCGACTGCTACCGCAGACCTGATCAAGACTAAACACCCTCCTGCGCAAAGCAGGGGGTGCGAACAAGACCCGACCGACAATTGAACAGCCAAGATGGCCGTTTCCGACTCGACCGCGACTGTCGCGACTGGCGGCATTCGCAAATTGACACCTACCAACTATCCCCTCTGGAGCGTCGACATTAAGGCCCTTCTGCGCAAGAAGAAGCATGGTCCAACCTGCTTCAAGAAGAACCCTAAACTGGCGCCTGACTGGTACAAGAATCTCAACCAACAAGCCGCCAATCTGGCTGTTGCGATACCATTCAACGACCCTCGACCTGGTTCGGAGCCAGCAACTAGCAAGAGCTGGGCCTTCTGAACCGACTGAACCTGAACCGACTGAACCTGAACCGACTGAACCTGAACCGACTGAACCTGATACGACTGAACCTGACACGACTGAACCACGACTGAACGGCTGCTTTAAGCACCCACCTGCAAGAAGCAGGGGGTGTCGTGGCTACTGACTGAACCGCAATCAACACTTAAACCTGCTGGATGCAGGGGGTGCGGCGGATTGACTGACTGAATGGCCATCTAAGGGCAAGATGCCTGGGCTACTGACTGACTGAACAACCAATGAAGGGCATAATGCCTGGGTTGCTGATTGACTGAACAACCAATGAAGGGCATAATGCCTGGGTTGCTGATTAACTGACTGAACAACCAATGAAGGGCATAATGCCTGGGTTGCTGACTGAATTGACTGAACAACCAATGAAGGGCAAGAAGCCTGGGTTGCTGACTGAACTGAATGGCCATTGTAAGGGCAAGAAGCCTGGGCTATTGACTGACTAAATGGCCATTGTAAGGGCAAGAAGCCTGGGCTATTGACTGATACCTCTTTGTTTGATTTAAGCGACTTTGTACTCACCTACGTGCCTTGCATGTGCACGAGGGGGTGACTTGAAACACAGGGTCCTGTGGCTTGGACCGTGCACACGCGGCACCCTATTTAGCGACTTCTCGCTTCTTCCGTAGACACTCAATCAACCATCGAACATACACTTCAAGTTTTGATAGGAATGCTAATTGCAGCTCAGTCTCCCTTTCCGTGCAGAATTCTCCAGCAATGCTTGTCATGGTCGTCCTTGTTGTAGAGAAAGTAAAGGATAGCTACCAGAAGTTTGAGAATGCCTTGGATATATGTCGAATGAGGGATCGACCACACGTTGGATCTTGCGGTCGCCAGTGAACGAGAACGACAGACGAAGATGACCTGGCACCGGAAACCCTTTTCAACTAAAGGGCACTTTGCTCTCCCAGCATCATGTTGATGGGAAACGATGAATAAGGCATGGACAAGCATTATGACTATGAGCGTATCACTTTGCAACAATATCATCTTGGCCTCAGGCTGAGATCTTTCCATGACCATGTCAAAATTTGCTGAGTCAGGACACTTTCCATCAACCACGTTGGCTTGGCGTTGCTGACAAGGAGGACTGGCATACGGCGGACCTGACCTCGCTTCCCGGCTATCTGTGCCTTCAGTCGTCGCTCGCAGAATACTGACTGGAAATTGGGGCGCTTGGGGGACGCAAACTGGCGGAGGTCTGGAACGAGCTAGACACCCCAAAGCAAGGCCCAGACCTACCTCCTTTTAGGCGCCCCGCTTGTAGGCTGCTTGGACCTGCTAACTCGTGTTTCTTCCTTCCGTGTCAATGAGTGCTTACAATATATAGACACTATACTATATCTATGTTAGCGGTCTAAGCGAAGCCTACAGCGGAGCGCCTGAAACCAAACCGGGCGTCTCCTATATAATTGCCCGCATTAGATTTAGATATTTTCCTCTATAGTATTACAACTATTTTCTAGAGAGACAAACCTAGAAAAAGGGTCCTGCGCCTTAATAAGAAGATAATATATTCCTATACAAAGCATCCGCTAATACGAGAACTATAGTGTTAATCTTCTATATACTAAGGCTAGTTATCTATATAAAGTCGAATAAAATACTAGATTTTAGCGGCTCCGAGGCTAGGAGGCTACGATACCTAATGCCTACCTATATCGAAGATAAGGAGGCCCTTCTATAAGCTTATCTCTCGGCCCTCTAGATATATAGCTTTTAGGCTATACCTATTATTCCTAGTTTGTTAGCCTCGAGGGCAAATACTAAGACTTTTGTCGCAATTTAGTCTAGCTTAGAAGGTCTCCTATAGTAGTAGTATACAGGCTCGATATAGACTATATAGTTAAGGCTCTTATATACCTTCTTCTAAGCGATCTCTAAGTGCTATATAGACTATAAAGTCGTATTACTATCGAGTTATAGCCTTCGAGGGCAAACAGCTATATTCTATAGGCTGTTTAGCCCGGTTTGTTCTTAGGCTTATAGGAGAAGAATTAGTTAGGTACCGTTAAAATATCGTAAAAGTCTAGTTAAAGCTTAATAAAAGTTTCCGTAACGTAAATCTTTATCCCGTAAGCCTAAATAGAGGTAGGCCTAGGCCCCTAAGCGATAACTAGCACTACTCCTATAGGGCGCGAAGGGCTAGTCTTAATATAAATAAGTAAGTACGAGGCTCGTAAAAAAACCTACTACTATAGGGAAAAACAAGCTAAGGACCTGTCTATAGAAATAGGGAAAACAAAGACCTCTATAGTAGTGTATGTTTTCCGTACTAGAGCTATCTCTACTTAGACTAGTAACAAAGGGTTGTTAGTATAGCTACGTATCTATATAACAACTTAGCTACTATAAGCTACTATAGAAATAAGCTCCCGCTGTTATAGGCTAAGACTATTCATATGCCTAAGACATATGAAAGCCGGCTCGGGCCGTCCCGCCGAGCCGCGGCAAACCTCCGATGTATTTAGTCGCGCCCTCTCTTGCGCTCTTCTTAGATTCTACGTCGACGTCTTAAATATTAACGTCTCTAATATTGTTCGCCCGTTATACTACATCGACCGTTTAAAACATCTAACGCGTTATAACAACGCTAACTAGCTTACGATAAGCAGAACTAGAGCGCTATAATAGCACCGACAACTAACAAACAGAGCGCTATAACGAGCGCCGAACAACGTGCATTATCGCAGTTATAGTACAGCGCAAGGCTGCCTATTCTTAAGCGATTACGGCGCGTAGTAGAACCGACAGTAGGTCTAGCGACCTCGAAGAAACGGAGATAAGTATCTCAGACTTTTATACACCTTAGTCTCTTAGATAGAAGACATATCCGACACCGTAGAAAGACTTACTAACACCTCGGCCTCGAGTAACGTATTAGTTTATAACCGATATAGCGCGCGAGTATAGCGCCCGCGTTAGCCTATCGCGGCACTCGATCCTTCTAGAATAGCTGTTTAGTAACCGACGCGACTTACAAACACTCGACACGTAGTCGAATAACTAGTACGAATAGAAAGAGTAAGAAATTGTAGGCAAGCTACCTAGCATCGACGAGAATGCCGAACTTAGTCCTCGCTTTAATCTTATAGAACTAAGTCGCGCGGAAGACATTACGGAAGTGGACAAGACCTATTAGATTAACGTGCCGCTTCTAGACGAAGAGACGGATAATAGCTCTACGGAAAAGGAAGTCCGTATAGTATATATTAAGTACGACGACTTGTAGAACATAACAGCCGAAGACTTAAAGAAGTAGTTTAATACTAAGTCGTACGTAGAGGCACTACACGCCCTACTTTACATTATTAGCTACGACTTTAAGCGATCCCTTCTATAGACCTAGGCTCTAGATAAAGCTAATATACTTAATTAGAAGAAGATTAAGAACCTCTAGAACCTGTACGACGCCATAATAAATGCGCACCGGAAGCAGGATTAGAAACTCTAGACTAAAGACAAGTTAAGTTAAGAGTTAAAGAAGAAATTGTCGAAGTACTAATAATACGTTAAGGAGTATAAAGCATAGCTTACTAAAGCTAAGCAGAAGGCAGAAGGAGCATTTAGCTAAGAAGACCTTAACGCGCTTAATGCGGCTTACGCGAAAGAGATTAAGGACTTAAAGGTCTAGTTAGAAGAAGCTCGCCGTAGCCGTACCGATACGCGCGGAATACTAGATAAGGATCGCTTAGCCTCTTCGTTGTCGATAGAGCGCCGCCGCTAGTAGCGCGATAGTGAGAAGCCTAACAATAAGAACCTAGATAACAAGAAGTCGGATAACAAGAAGTTAGATAGTAAGAAGAAGAAGACAGATAAGAAGAAGAAAGCTATTGTGCTTTCTAACGATAACCCGTCTTCCTCCGACGACTCTTTAGACAGTTTAGACTCTAGTAACGAGTCGGACGATGAAGCTAAGTCCTCTAACAGCGATTCCGACTCCGGGTTAGAAGCTTACAAGAAGCATAAGAAAGCAGATAAGGGCTTGGTTTATTACGACAAGACCCTTAAGTTAAGCTCGAAGTCGTATAGCAGTAGGAAGGATATTAGTGTCGACAAGTTCTCTAATAATAGCAAGATTACTTACGAGCAATAGGAGTTGTAGGTAGAGAATAAACTCGATGCTATAACCTTCCGAGACAAGGACTCCTGCTTACGCTATATACACAACTTAACTAGAGGAAAGGTCTAGATTGCCTTAAAGATACGCGTCCCTTCGAAGCTTAAGAAGGAAGCTATTA